GTGATACACCTGGTGGTATTTATATGTGGCCAGCTCAGCAAGCTACATGGTGCTCTATCTGGTTGAATGCTCTGGCAGCCTCTCACCAGTATCTTTCTTCATCACTGTCATCAGCAAAGAATATGTTATTAGTTCTGATGACACCTGTTCTTTCTTCCTTGCTGTCAGTGCTTTGGTTTTCAATGTATAGCTCAGCAGAGAAACTCTTTTCACTTCCTGTCAGTATTGTATATAGGAATCCATGGCTGTCATTTAGAGAGACACTTCAAGCTCTTGAAGCCATCTGAGAAGCATCAAAGGAGTCTCTGGCATGGCATCCAATGCTGGGCTCAGAGAGTGCAGTTGAGAAGGCTGCCCTCATCATATAGACACTGCTGGAGATGTCTGGATGCTTGACATGTGGGATTGGCATGTCAGATCTTGGTCTTCTGAACCCTATGGCCCAAGAGTTACTATCATCTCTGATGATTGCTATCAGGGGTCAGAGTGGGTATCAGTGCTGCATTTCTTCCTTAGAATGTTCTTGAGATGAGTCTCCAGAGATGGTTTTGGGTATGAATTCTTCTGAGGGCTGAAAAGACTGTTGGGCAGAGAGAGGGATGTCATAGAGAGGGAGGTCAGAGATGATATTTCATAGAATACATCAGATATGCTGAAACTCTTGATAATGCTGGATGACCCAGATAGTGATTGATTGACATCTACAGCACAGCTGTATGATCACCAATAATCCTAATAATGTTCTGATGATAGAAGTAAGGAGTTTAAAGAACTCATGTGTGAAGTTTGGGTCTGATAGGTTGATGGTGGGAGGCATTCAGTTTCTCAGCACAGTTGGGCTTGAGAAAGGGAAGCTAAAAGCTTTGAGCTAATTGTTAAGCTCAAATGACACATGACCTAAACACATGATAAACTGACACTGCCTCACACTTCAGGCAATGATATCAGAGTTCACTTGATGTGTTATATAGCTCTGTATCACAAGGCCTTTAAATTGGCTTAAGATAAGATAATAAAGAATAAAACTTTAGCTTGAAGCTGGAGATGCTACAGTGAGAGCTACACTACTTATATACTAGTCATCATCCATCTAAAGATATAACTACCTAATTGTGTGTCCTGATATTATAAAGCATTTTATCCAGTGTCATTAAGCTACCTATAAAAGAGTATTGTCTGTTGTTGAGCAGTAACTGTTGTGTTGAAGGACAATGACTGACTAGGCATTGTTGTGATGACTAAGCCTGGTCCCACAGTCCTAAGCACTGGCTAGATGCTCTGACTAAGCAAAGATAGGGGTCAGTCCCTCAAATAAAAGATAAAAATACAGAAAAATTATAACACTCCTGAAGCTGAAGCATTTTAGAGCTATGATGATACCAATGGAGGAGAAAATACATGAGCAAATCAAGAGTGTGATATGATGACCAGAGACATAGAACCAATGCATTGCCTCCTCTATCAATTATAAGCAGAGCATGACTAAATCAGAGGACCTGATCTATTATGACAATCATATCTACATCCCTTGTGATCATACACTCCGAGAGGAGATTATTGCAATATCTCATGGCCACATCACTACAGAAGACTCAGAGATCACAAAGATGAATAAATTGATATTGAGGGAATACTGATGACTAAAGATATGACAGAACATTGAGAAGTATGTTAAGAGATATGAGACTTGTCAATAGACTAAGTTAAGTGTACAGACACAAGTGGCCTCACTTCACCCAAATGAGATTCTTACTAAACTATAGACTCACATTTCAGTCAATATGATCACTGGATTCTCAGACTGTAATGGCTATAACACTATTATTGTCATTGTTAATCAGTTTTCAAAAGTCATTATTTCTATCATATGTTTAATGGAACTGTCTTCAGAGGGATAGGCAAAGATATTATGTGATGAAGTTTACACTAAACACAGAATACCCCAAATCATCATCTTAGACTGTAGTTCACAATTTGTCTCAAAATTCCTCAATAACCTGTATCATCTTTTAATATCTGAAGCAATGCATCAACCACTTATCACCCACAAACTGATAGGCAGACTGAGTGTGTCAATCAAAAAATGGAAAAATACCTCCAGATATTCATTAATCACAGATAGGATGACTGGACTGAGTGGCTTGCTCTGGTGGCATTCCAACATAATAATTTCATTCACTCTGCCACTAACAAGACTCCCTTTTTCATCAATCATAGCTAACATCCTCATATTATGGTCACTAGTCACCATAATACTACTACTCCTATATCTTTCAACTTCACACAACTCATATTGGCTATTTACACTGAAATACATATAGTGCTCAAGAAGCTGGCTGCTGCTATAAAGGCACAATATGATAAATACTGACAACCAGCCTGTGAATACTCTATCAATGACAAGGTCTGGCTTAATGCCAGCAACCTTCATCTTCTCTGCCTAAAATGCAAACTTACCAACAAATGCACTCACCTCTTTTCTGTTCTCACAAAAGTTGGCACCTTCACATACTACCTTCAACTGCCTGACAACTAGTGCATACATCCAGTCTTTAACAAATCACTCCCACCTTTTCTAATCAGGAAATTCCACCTCCATCCAAACTAATCCTGATTGAAAATAAAGAACACTATAAAGTTAAACAAATTTTGGATTATAAACTCTAAAAAGTGCAAGCACACAGTGGTAGCAGCCATACTATGGTTTATTATCTCATCAAATGGAAGAACTATGGACCAGAATCCAATCAATAGATCCATGAGCATGACCTGAATGCAGAGGACACTATTTGTGACTATAAAATCTCCATTAATTAATCCATCAGAATGATAGTCTTAAGAGGAAGGTGATATTATAATTTTTCTCTTATCTTATTATTTTTACTTTTTATCTTATCAGAGTGCCTATCTTATCTTGGGTGCTTATCTGAGGATGCAGGGAAGGTTATATAATTACAACAGACTGACAGTACTATTGTACTTGATTATCTTGTCTACAAACTATTTCCTATTGTCTACTCTCTGACAACCAGACAGAATAAGCAGCATAATTCAGGACAGTACAATAGGCAGTAGTATATTTATTATGATCCAGGACAGTATATAAGTAGGATAGCTCTCACTGTAGTAATCCAGCTTTGAGCTATAAGTTTATTTCACACTATTTTCTCTTGAGCCTAACTTGTCTTTGGCTTTAAAGCATTTGTCTGATATAATACATCAAATGAACTCTAGCAAGACTATACAAACATGATGCAGTGCTAGTTTATCATGTGTCCAAGTCATGTGCAAGCTAGATCTAACAACTAGCTATACAAGAACTACTGGAATTGGCCTAACAGAATCAGAACTGTTTGTACTAACAAGCTAATATATTCAAATTGCTCAGATGGAGTTTGCATCCTAGATGACTCTGATGCTTATCATCCAGGGATCAGCACAAATGAGGTATTCTAGAGGTAAAATAGATAAAATACTTTTTTTTGACTTGAGACTAAATTTCAAATTTTTATTACAGAAAGCAAATAAGATTGTGCAGTACAGCATTGACAGGCAAACTCATCAGCCTGTTTACTCCAATGTCTTGTATTCTCTTCTCCTATCAGATAAGTATTGCATGATGCTATCAGTTATCCAAGCCAACCAACCAACTAAATTAACATGTGCAACACCTTATACAGATTTCAATTTGAGTATGCACTGAGCTGATAAAGTTTAGGTGTTCACCAACATGACTTACCTTTAGATGACAACTCAGTCCTATGAAACCAATGAAACAGGGTACCTTTTTAGGTTCAGTCTAAACAGAAATGACTCCATTGTGAACCAGTTCTTTGTCACTCCCACTATGACTTTTAGGGGCTTCTCTAATGCTGTAAGCCTCACATCTATGATTCCTCAGAAGCCTTTGTTGGTTAATTCCCATCTAGTTTTGGATAAGTTATTAACAGCAGCATGCTTTGTGCAGAGGTCCTGGATGTGAGTATCTATATCAGCACCCTCTGTATACTTTGTGTTCTGAAGTATCCATTGAGCTTCAGATAGTGCCATACCATTTTGAATAGCATAGGTGTTTATTAGTGAGTCCTATGCCTCCTTCACTGTGCCTGTTGTCTTAACCCTAACCCAATAGGGTTGGAGACATTGAGAATGATATGCAAGCATATGTGGGAGTTGCAGAATTTCCATTCATCATATGACAGTGTGGATGAGTATAGTGGTATGAGATTCAGTGGGAACAGTGTGGTAGCCAGTGTTGTGTCCATAGTTTTCTGGGTGGTAGGTGGGCATAGATTTGTCCCACCCACATATCCCCATAAGCCTTTACCACTGATAATTTCAGTGATCTTAACCTGCCAAGATGCAAGGTTTTTTCCATTGAACTGAGAGGCTTTGAGAAGTTGGGTGACAGAAGGGCTTGTTGTTGACATGGTTAGGGGTTATAGTTATTCATGTAAATAGTTGTGGGTATTGAGTTGCTCTTGTGGGTAAATTGTACTGTGTGTTCTCCTTGACTGGTTCAGAGACTAGGGTAGGGCCACATAACCTAATGTAAGATGAACAATGTAATCAGAACTCAGTTGGCACAGTGTGGGTGAAATGACTGTATTGGTGGTGTACCCATACCTAATGTAAGATGAACAATATAATCACAACTAAAGAGTGAGTAAGTAAAGTATGCAAGGTATATGAGCTAGATAACACATACCTCAGTCAGCACAGTACAGGTGAAATGACTGAGGTTGCAGAAGTAACTACATGATATATATACTGTCAGTATGAAGTTCAGGGGTGTGGAAAAACAAAAGAGTCTATAATGGATGGCATACAATATAGTCGGGACTGCATCGGATATTACATGTCTCGTTCAACACATGGTTCAGGATAGTCGACAGATTTCAATGGAGAGCAACGAGATGAAGAGAATGTTAGAAGTTCTTAGCTTTGCGGGTGAGGGAAAATGGGCAACGCGAGAGACAATTGCCTCAATGGGAGATACTCATATGATGCTTCAGATTGTCTTGCCTGCTGAAAGACCTCAGGCAGCCTTTTTTCAGACATTTATGAGCTAGGGAGTTGTGAGCACCGGAACCGAGAGAAAAGGTCGAGCGCACGCTTTTGGCATATGTGGAGGCCCTTGATATGCCTCTTCAGATGCTCGCCTCGACCGAAGCTCTTTCCGCATCCTCCGTACGCGCAAACGTATGGCCTGTCGCCCTTGCTGCGACGGCCTATCTTCCTCAAGCCGAACGGAATCGATGCAATCGGTGTGTAATGCTCTGCTTCAAACTGATCATCTTGACGGAACTCCGGAGCAACGGGAACTTTCCTTCCACGACTTTTCTTATTGCCACGGCCGTCCTTCTTGCCCAAGTGCTTCGTCGTCGTGGTCGACCGAGTTCTCTTTCTGGTGGTCGAGGGTCCTGGACTAGGGCAGTAGGCAGAATCAGAATCCGATTCGTCGTCTCTGTGGTAGGAAAATTCGGACTCCGATCGTGGTGATTCCGTCTGCGGGTTAGAAGCTAAGGATACCTCCGAGTCAGACTGTAGCATCCTAAATGGCGAGAAGTTCTGACAAGCGGGCTGTGCGTTTGCCTCAGGAGAAGGCGATGGGTCAGGAAGTTGCTCTGGGAAGAATGAAGAGGGTGCTGGGGACGATGAGGAAGATGTGAGTGCCGATACATTGACGAACACAGTAGGTGGTGTTGAGAGTGGCGACTCGTAGTCCAACTCCAGTGGGGTAGATGGTGTCGCGGGAGGAGCCAAAGGAGGGTCCAAGAGAAATGTCGAAGTGTCGCCAGAAATGATGGGCTTGTCCGCCGTTGACTGAAGGTAAGAGATAAAGTCTTTGGAGATGTCGTCTCTGAAAATCATCTGCACGAAAGAAGCGGCATCCTGCATGGAATCGAAGAGGTAGTCGTATCGGTCGTTCTGGGAAAACGGAGGTCCTGAAGATTGGGTTGGACTCTCTGTCTCATGTGAATCCTCAGGCCGCGAAGATGGGACGCCATTCATTTGTAGAGGCTGGAAGTCAACGTACGGGAGGGCGTTCATCTCCAGAGCGGTGGTGGTGGTGGTGGTTACTGCTAGAAATGACTCGAGCCAAGTTTCCGCCCTTTTATACGAAAATGCCAAGACAAATCGGGGATCCTCGATTATGTCTTGACTTATACACATCGGTTTATTTCGGATCTAGTTTTGGATTTGCGTATGAAATCAAGACATGGTCGAGGATCCCTGTATAGGGATAGGACCTGGGTTCACCGGCATTATCTTCTGGTCACCCATGATTATTCATCTTGGCATATTGACCAGCTCCAAGAAACCATTTTCTCTATGCAGCCCTACATTCTAAAGATATGTGTACACTTGATTTTAACCTAGGTGCATGTCTAACATCTTCTATGCCAAAGCATTCACATTTCACAAGCTCCCTCTGCACTTGTGAAGGTAAGTGGTTCATCATGTAGACTATACTGCTGGAGTGGAATGAGGTAGGGACGGAGATCTGGGTCATCGCTGAGTTAGATCGGAGGTGCATTGTAGAGTATATGTCCCCGTTTGCCTGTCCACTGGTTCGATCTGCACTTTTAGTAGTAGATCCATGCCGACGATGGTGTCGGAAAAGGAAGAAAGCAATAAGGGCGGAGAGAGCAACGCCCACAACGCCTCCGACGATGGGACCGACGGGAGTGGAAGAGCCATTACTACTGGCGGTGCCATTATCCGAAGTAAGATCAGGATGATCTGTTGAAATATGTCAGTTGTACATGATTCGAAGTGCGGTCAACTTCGACCCACCTTGAGAAGACATGTTTTTGGCATCCGAGGAATCAAAACCCCCATCAGGCCAATTCAGCGCTATCATCTTAGTAGATGGTGAACAATCTCCCTCCGAAGAAATATGACCAAGTCAACTAACGATTTTGGGTGGCCCAGTACGGAATGGAAGCCGGTTCAGGAAGTTCATAACCTTTATCGTAAGGATAGAACCTGAAAAAATTGTGAATAGAATCCTTAAATCCGAATTCCGAGGTGGTCTTACGTTGTCGTGGACAAGTCGTCGTCCGGACATTCTGCTTTGTAGTAGGCCCAGCTAATGACATTCAGCATGGTGAACTGTTTTGATGGAAGAGAAGATATCCTCACCTCAGAACGGAATTCACGTTGCCTTGGCATACCGTGCAGGCACTCAAGAGGTTATAAACGGACCAAGAACTACGCCAGATCCTAAGATAAAACAATCGAGAAGAGATACAATTCTGACGTACCATGAGCATGGAGTCGACGACATGGTACCGACATTCGGAGGATTATAATGGGAGTCGGCCGGTAAAGCCCATACGCCGTAATCTGCACCCGATCGACATATCAGTCGCTTAAAGAAGCCACTATCAATGCACGCACCACCGGTCAAACAGGATCCCAACAAATACGACGCCAGCAGACAAGGACTCAAACCTGATTCGTTGTCAGTCCAATCATAATCACTGGTGCAAGTTGCATTAGTCTGGGGCCCGCGCGGGACTATTGTTGAAGCCGATGCAAGAGTGACAGCCATCAGAGAAACGATAATGAAGTACACTAGGCAACTCATGTCCGCGTACGAATCCTGTCCACTGCACTGCTGGAGGGAGAGCAAAAGACACGCCCTGACCCCTGCAACACTGATGGTGAGAATATCAGATGCAGGTACCGCTCAGCGCTAAGACCAAGGATACCGGAGCCTGACATGACCAGCGTGGGCTCCATCCATCCATCCGGAGAACCACATACGTGATGTTATGTTCAATTTCGGCGCAAGTAATAAAAGAGCGAACAAGCTGGCGAATCAATTCTAAGAACTTGGGAAGAGGGCAAGCAGTTGTGAAAGCGCTCACAAACGTATCTGCCAGATAACGGGAGTTTTTGGGGGGACCGGGACCTTGTTTCGTACAAAATGCACCACCGTTTGAATGATCGCGGATATTTGTTCGCCCCGCTTGATGATTCCTATGCTCTGAGCTACGGGGCCACGGCTGTCAGCCCGTGATGATCAATTGATTTCGTCAATTGATTTTGTATTCCAGAGAGATGATTTGAATGCCACATCACAGTACTGCTTCAATTGAATTGGACGCCGGAAAATGCCGAGGTGGAAAGAATTTTGATGGAGATCGGATCGATGTGTCCGTGCCGGCTCACGGCTCAACCTTGAAGTACAGCAGCATACCTGGAGGATGACAGCCAGTATGCTTGAGAAATGGGGCAACTGAATGTATGTTTTTAAGGTTTTCATCTTCATTATGATGAACTTTGACCATGTGCTAGATTGTTCAGAGCCTTCACTTGCACAGAGAACAGAATGAAGACCAAGTCTTGACTACTGATGAGAATGAATGAATATACTCCAATGTCTGTGCTAGAAGCTATCCAGCTAATGGGCTCCATACCTTTTATGTATCCCAGGACTTTATGGCTTCATCCAAGGCCTGGCCATGCTTCACACTTTGCATCTACTCTAGATTACCTGAGGACAGCTACACCTTTTTGAATGATTTTCTCTGATTCCAGATCATGTGTATGACATTCCCATCCTTCTGTGATCCTATTGGCTGGTATAGGCAAAGAAACTCTTTCATAGTATATAGATAATAAAACAATGCATCCTTTATAGATTACCTTCATTTATAAGCAAGCATGCCTTGATGTAAACTGCTATCCATTGAAGGCTGCAGTTGAAAATTATAGTTGAGATGCAGAGGATTAATGATTAACCTCTGGTACAGCCTAACTAATTTCTCTCAAGATCCTTAACCAGCATCCAAAAGCCTGAATTTGAGTGACTTTTTTAGTCTGCACAGAAAGGACCTTGATATTTTCTCTCTCAATAGATCCATGCTCCTGAAGACATCTCCTGTATCATTTCTAGTCATATGTTAAGCTATCACAAAGATGAACTTGTTCTGAAACACAACATATACTTCAGTGATGCCACAATCCTTTCAATGCTTGCTACAAGATAATATTATTCAAGAGTCTGTGTTTCTTCCACACAAACTGATATAAGATGATGCCATCAATGCTTCTGCCATCAAACTAATCAAGCACTCCAAACCAAACTCCTCCCTTCTTTTGTCAGCATTGATCAAGATGAGTAAGATAGTACAGGCACCCTTTTAATGTCAACAACATCAGAACTCTTTAGATAATATTATGCTTGAAGATATCATACACATCTTTCTTTGTTAATAATGTAAAAATTGATGGATCATTGTGTGGTGCTTGTGATCATCAGCATGAACAGCCTCATCTCACCTGTTCTTCTCCAGAAATCCAGAAAACAGCAAAAAAAAAAAAGGTCTCATGGATATAAATTCATGTGATTGATCTATATCTACAGATGCTGATTTACTCATCCTGTAGTTTTGCCTATTTGCACTGTCTTGGTTGCCTCAGTGTGAACCAGAGAAGACTCTGTCAGGATCAGTGCTGTCTGCACCATCAAGAAAGTCTGTTTGGTTCTATGCACTTTCTGATATGGTCAATCTGTCTTGTTAGTCAATAAATGATTGAAAGCTATTATACCATGCAGTGTATCTGTGATGCAACAGATATCATCTATGCAATGGGTCCAAGTCATTGATGGTGTTCACAACTGTTAGACCTGAGCTTCACATGATCACAAACACATGATAAACTATTGTCACTTTGCACTTCAAGTGGAATGACAGAGTTCACTGTATATAGTTGTGGATTGTCATATTATAAAGTCTTTAGAATTGGCTCAAGAGTAGAATAGTATAGATAAACTTTAGCTTGAAGCTGGGTTATACCAGTGAGAGCTGCTCTGCTTATATACAAGTTATTGTGCTACTATAAATGTTCTTACTTATTATGTCTGTCCTAGTTATTGTGCTCATTGTCCTTGAGCATTGCTACTGTCTGTAAAAGAGTAATTGTGCATTGTCAAGTGATACTATTGCATTGAAGGATAATGATCAACTGAGCTTGTTGTAATGACTAAGCTGGTCTCATAGTCCTAAGCACTGGTTTAGCACTCTGACTAAGCATAGATAGGTGTTATTCATTAAAGAAAAGAGGAAAAGAAAAAGGAAAAATTGTAACAACAACTGGACTAGAAAAAGAAGGCAAGCATAGCTACCTTTTTATTTATGTCATAGACTTTTACTGATAATTCATTTAATAGTTTTTGGTGACAGCAGCACCTCTTTGATAGTAGTCATCATGACTATCAGAATGCTTTTAGCTCAAACTAAACATTCCCTTATGCTCTCATTCAAAACAGATGATATACCTCTTCTCATATCCCTTTCAACTGCATTTGTCACTCTGATGAATAAAATCTCAAACCTAATCCCCTGAATACTGCTTGAATATCAGTTGATTTAATCTCATATCTGTACCCAGCCACAGTCACAGCTAAAGATCATCTTGTGAATATTTGAATGATAAGCCTAGACTATAGACTGTTCATATCTCTATCTCTCTCTGAGTACTCTTAAGCACTATATCACAAGCATGCCTCTATAATGCAACAATGCTACTATAACCAATTATGAAAATAATCCTTCCAAATGTATATGCACTGTGCAAATCCAAAACAAATTTCAGGCCTGCAAGTTTCTGATCAAGTACCTATGAGGATCAAGAAGATAAGATTATTGGATTTTCTGATAATCTTTATGCCTTTGGATGCTCAAACAGATGATGTTGTTGCATTGACTATCTGTTTTGTATATTGTTTTGTTCAGATCAACCTCAAGTGACTTGTGTTTGTTTGATTCAGATCTTTTTTCCTATTCTGGATCTCATTTGGCAAGAGATGCATCACTCCACCCTCAGCCACAATAGTCACCTCTTGATAGCTCACTTTCTGCAAAAAATTTTTCTAAAACAGATACAAGAAAAACCAGCAGCTAAATCACTGTACAGATTAAGCTTAGCACTGAGAGATATATTCTTATTGACAGATGAGATGTTTCAGATGTAAAAATGAAGGGCATCAGAAACAACTCTGGCTGTCCAAGGGTATCCTGCAGCCCCAAGAGAAAGATGACTTTCACATTTCATATCAAATGAATGTCATTTTTTTCAGTCTTATTCTTTTTAGTGAATAAGAATGTGAGTCTGAGACTGGATAACAGGAGGATCTAGCTTATTCTAGAGCTTGATGTATGACAGGATCCCTAGCATTGAGCCAGAGGGGATTCAGAATATGTCTGTAGAGCAGATAGAGAAGTGTGGATGGTGACATCTGCTATCTATAAGCTAAGCAAGCAGGAGCAGTGAGAAGACCATAAAGAGGCTAAGACAGATCAATGCTCCTTCTTGGCTCTCCAGCTTGTCATGCAGAGCATGTGCATTCAAAGAGGACACACATATTGTTTGACATATGCACTTTTATATGCTTCACAGGCCTTGTGGCTGAAAGCTTGCAGCCTATGGGCCATGGGTAGATCATGGTCATGCAGGCACATGAGTTAAGAAGCTGGCACAACTTAGCTGATTCAGGGTTCTTTCAAACTGAGTCAGACCAAACAGCATCAGTGGAACATGATGCCTGGCTCATTCTTTTCTTCTCACCTGACTCTGGCAGACCAATAGATTCTACACTCCTGAGTGATATAGATTATGAGAAATTTTGTAGCAAGAAACCAAGTGCACAATCCACTATGAAGCAACAGATAGGGGTTTGAACTTACTCTGGTTATACTCATATAATAAATTATAATGATAGTCAATCCAGTCAGTCTCTGTCAATCTCAGTGGCAACCATCAAATTCAGGGCCACTGAGATTAGCAGTTGAGATAGATACTTCATCTTCAGCAAGCTTTTGCTATTGTCATATACAGAAGAAGCTCTATCAAACAAGAAATAGCCTATAAATTTGTTGATCAATCAGAATACAATAATATATAAACTTTCTCAAAGAAATTAAACCAAGCCAGCCTATCAAACCTTGCATCTGGCATGGAAGTAGTACAGACCACTAGTTATATTCATAATATATTCTACTAATACAGCATTAAAGCCAAAGGAATGATATGCTTGAACTCAATATAGATTTCTAACCATCATTGATATTCTACTGAATAATGCCAGATAAATATTCTTTCTACTAGCACCTCTACAACTGACCACTATAGATTATTCTGAATGTGTTTATCAAGGACACCATCATCAGCTTATCACAGAAGAAGCAGGTGAGTGAACCTTCACTTATGCTTGTGCTCTAAGCATCTTCTAGTAGAAAGTGCTTGCATCTAGATCAATGTCTAATTACAATCTGGTTATATTTGGACAGAAAGACAGAGAATTAAACTAAATAGAGTAAACTATGTCACTACACTTACTATTGTGTGACTCATACTACTCAAACTATGACTGATTTTCTTCTATTGCAGGAAAAGACAGTATGCTATTCTGAAAGAAAAGTTCAGATAAATGAAATATCAATATGCACATTATACATACTGTCTCTGCTTTAGCTACAGAGAGATCTGATATGGTGATACCCTCAATGACAGTTTTAGATAGTCAGTCTTGGTCACAAAAAAGATTGTATATACAGTCTCTCCAGAATCAGCAGTCTCACTTTCAGTGACAGGAGTAGCAAATCTCATTATATTTTTGATAAGGTGACATCCTTTTTTGACAGATCATATTGAAATCTTGTGTGAATTGAGTCTGAGAAGAGAGTTAGCAAATAAAAAGGTGGTAAGGCTAGACTTGCATAGTGAGTAAAGAGTTTATATACACTGTTGGTGACACCTCAGTTTTGCAAAGCTGGTTAAGATGTATATACTGACACC